AACCAATCACGCGTTGGCGCATCTTACCCAGCACTACAAAGCCGGTTCCCAGCCCGTTGGTGGTGCCACAGCTCTGGTAGAAAGTAGCCGCTCGATGCCCGCTTTTCCATACCTTTTGTCCCGTCCAGCAAAGTTCCTGCTGCGACTTCGAAGTTGCGTGGTTGAAGTTCGTCATAGATTAACCTATCGCAACCCGGGAAGCCGAGCGATTTGCATTTCCATGTTCCGAGTTTCCAATCGTAGTCCTTATTTCGTCGCGTAGGTCTGTGCCGATTGTTCCGATCCGTATTTCTTTCTTCGGTATTTGCAACTTTGTTTTTTTTTTCCAGGGCGGCTTGTTGCGCCTGCCCCAACCCCCTGTCTTGCCGGGGGACCATCGTGCACAGCTCTGTTTAGAGTCCCACGCTGGCACTAGGACGGTGATCAGCCGCTCCTAACATGGAGAACAGACGCCGTTTTGAGCCACACCTCCATGGTGAGCAGACGCTCAGGTTTGGTGAAGCATTTCCTCTATCACCGTACTATGGTAACCGCGCCAGTGTTCGCGTCGCACCTCTTCACTTTGCTATTGCCGGACTGGTAACATTGCCCAGGCTACGCCAACCAGCTGTGTCCATGTTTCAGCTGGTAGTCTTTTGTTATCATATGACTCGAGGAGGCGTGAAGTAGGAACTTGTGAGGACCAGGGCTAGGTATTCCGCTCCTTCCAGGTTGTCAACTCACCATTTTGTAGCCCGTCAGTGCCTATACGTAAGCGTACTACAACGCGGCTCTCAAACAAAGGAGTAACAAGTGTAATACTATCACTGCTAGACTAGATCTTTGGTTCTCTCATGCAGTGGTTCATCAGAGAGGGGAACCTTAGTATCTCCATCGCCTGCCTATGGCGCCATTCTATCATGACATGAACCAGCAACGCCGGCCCTCTCCAACACTCTACTATAAAGTATGACATTAAGCCCGCCCACCAACAGCAAGGTGCAAAAACTAGCCAAGGGGAGGGATAGAGAATTCCAATGGAGTTTGAACTACATTTCAAGGGTAATAATAATGCAAATTAAAAGATAGTTATGAGGAGTATTCAGCTGAATGCTATTTGAGAAATATTCTAAAAGAATTTGAAGTGAAATTTTGACAGAAATCAAAGAATTTCCAGAGATTTTTTGTCTGAGGAATTCTAAGGTCAATTTCAAGAAAATATTTAGAACTGTTTCAATATAATGCCAAGATGTATTCCATGGAAATTTCGAGAGGAATTCCAAAGGAATTATGAGGAGAACTTCAAGTGCAACGTAAAGATTGCTTCCAAACCGGTTCTGAAATTAATTCCAAATCCGGTGCACTGATTTCATTTGATTTTACGTAGAATTCAAATGTAGTTTGGTTTCTCTTATTGAGAAAAAAAAACTGCAGTGAATCCTATGGAGTACTCTAAGTTAGTTCTGCGAATAATTGCAAGATATTCCAGAAGAGCACAGTGCCTTATAGTTTTTGGCACTACGTGATTTTTCTATTCTCTGCATTCTATAAAATGCATCGAATGCTTAATGGAACTATGCCTTTACTCGACCATGCCATAGACATCAACAATGACTCATTTTTTTTTCAAATGTACCGCATAAAACTTTATTACTAAATTACGTCACGAGAGGCTTTTTAGTAGAGTACGTTAGCTTCACTAACATTACTCACCCCTCCTCGTATAGTTCTACCTTAAATAATTTATTGTGTCTTGTTCGTATCTGAAGGACTGTATTAACGAAGCGTAACGGTATTTTTGGATGATCCATGTATAAAAAATATGTTTTAAGAACACATCCACGTATGACAAATTATGTATGCTGATGAGCTTTTGCCATGAATATATTTTTTATCGATAGTTATATTCAAAATTCAAAATAGGTCCCTCTTGACCCGGTATGTGGGGAAAGTTAGACCTAATTCGCATTTAATGAATATTATTTTTCGAAATGTCTAATGTTGAATTTTGGTTTTGGTGCGAATGTGCAGGGATGCCAACAGATGATTACTGTATGTACAGTTAATCATTATTGTATTGTAGATTGCACAAGCACATAATGCTGAACTTTACAGTATACTTGCCCCGGTGAACCTTATTTTTTATACTGAAAACTTTTCCTGGTGTGTCTAAAATTCCAGCTGATATTGTCCTGAAACCCATTCCTCGTCGGAATCTTTCAAAATTCTTATCACAAATATCCAAAATTCCAGTTGGGATCATCCTCTGTTGGAGTTCTTTAAAATACCCATTGTGTTTGCCCTTAATCGCAGTCGAAATGGACTGGAATCTCAATTGGGATTATCCGGTCGGAAATAGGATATCCAAAAACCTGGCCGGAATCGTCCAGAATCCTAGTAAGGAATGTTTGAAATGCCAATTGGAATGGTACAACCTAGTTCCTCTGGAGCATTCCAGTGGAGATCTTTATGAATCGTTGTCAGGATTGTTTAGATCCATATCGAAATTCGATACTGGCAGAAGAAGTAAGTTGAGCTAGATGTAATCGGCTGAAATTAAATATAAACAAGTATTTTTATTATACCCACGAAAGATTTCGTACAATCTGATGTCTTCCTGTTTAATTATTCCGAGAATTTGGCCCATTGTCACAAGTACTTCCACTACACGCAATAGGCGAATATTTACTAATGAATGAAATAGAATGGTGGCTGGGACTCCGGTAAACAAGCAATTGTAAAACAAGATCTCGGCACTTCAGATTACCGAGGTCAGCAAAAATATTGCTTGCGTTGGTGCACCGCATCCAGTGAATTTTGTCAAAAAATGAAGCAAGCCGAATTGTCAGTTTGCAGTAGTGCTGAATCAGTGTTTAAATATATGTTTTGCTGAATTCTCAGTAAATTAGAATTATTCCGTGCTCGCTCGCTTATATATCTATTGCCGAGCTCGATAATTATTTTTATGCGTAGAGGAAATGGCTCTAATGTTTGCCTATGGATCTAAAATTGGACCCATCGCTAAAAATCTGCTATTTATCGATTTTATCTAGATGAACGCGTCATTGGGACGGTACTTATGGATATTTTTGGTCGTTATTGAAAATTTAGTCGATTGCTGACCCAAATGGACCCAAATTAGGGGCATTTAGGCCGACATTACATCCACTTCCCCTATATATTCCTAACACGAATGCCACACACTAATGTGGTAAAGTGTCACAAATAAATAATAATAATATTAATTGCCGTACACCGATTGAAAGTGAAAATGTGTCTCAATTGCCAGTGATGAGTTTCCTTGGAGTTGGAAACAGTCTATTTTGAATTGATGAAGACAAGGAAATATGTTGGAAAAAATTTATTGAATGAATTGCCTTCAACCAAGCGGTTAGAATACTAGCAACACTGCCATTGATATGAACGGAATTCCAATTACCTGAAATCTTCGCTTTACAATAGGTAGGGGAAGTTGCTTATTCATCAAAATATGAACCAATTCAGAATACAGGCAATTCAGCCAATGCGTCTTCTTCCCTTCAATTGCATATATTTGCAGAATTTTGATGATTTCTCCGTTTAAAAAGTAAAGTGTTAATTTTACTTGCTATGTTCATTTTACCCCCACTTCCCCTACTGGAACTCAATAAAATAATGAACTCAAAATATGTTTTAAATTATATACTACTAATCTGGGTACTGCTGAAAACTTCTTAAAACATTTCCCAAGTAGCAAATTCGTTTGCTCCTTTTCAGTAGAATCCCTTCAAATACTCTGAGACAGAAGTGCTCATCTGAGGCATCAAAACTGTGCTGAGGTTTAAGCTTTCTTTACCGAGACGATTGGTTTCTCCCGTTGAGCTTACAATCAATAATGTGTTGAGAAAAAGTCCGGTTAATTTCTATGAAATGACAATACTAGACGATAGATCAGAAGAGCATCTACATCTGTGTCTTCTGAATGTTTGGCTCCCATTTGACAGTTCACAGCTCCCAGTTGACAAGCATATACAATGAGTCCACTGTATACAGCTACTAACACCTCAGATCTCTGAAGAAAATAATGTAGACCAGTGTAATCTCCGCTAAAGGTGCCTTCAAATGGGAGGCACGATGCAGGAAATAGAGCAGAAAAAATAACTTTTCTAGGATGTCGTCTGGAACAGCAGCAGTAGCATCAGCAACCAACCGGCAGTGAGCAAAGCAGAGTAGCATAACGAGGTGGATTGTAGGTGGATGTAGTCTACAAGAAGTAGTATTTTATGGAACCTGAGGCCTTTTGCGATGCGATGCAATATACCTACAGTTGGGAGCCGTTCGTTTCCCGTCGTGTAGTCTGCACAGGGAAATCGAGTAAATGCAGTGCGGAAATGAGAAACAACCTATTTGCATATTATAATGAAAATTGAAATCAATATAATTATTTTTTTCATTATTACGTTTGCAGATCGCAGCGCTATTTTTTTTAGGTATAGGGAAGCATATATCCTCTTTGATAGTGTTTTAATCTGTCGCTATTTTTCTTCATACATGCATTGAAAGTTCAAGCGTGATACAAAGTAGCTCTGATCTATTGAATTGCATTCAGACTGATAGATAGCATCGCTTAAAATAAATCAAACGATAACTTGTGTTAAACTCAATTTCCGCTATCCGTTTTCCATACTAAATTCAATTGTCAACCGGCATATCAAATTGAACCATCATGACTATCAGATGCATCCGCTATCGGTACTTCGAAAATCATTCCGTCGATAGCCTCTTCGTCCGTCAATCACTTTTTGGTCGCACTTTAACCAGAAGACAGCCTTTTCATCAACCATCGTCGTCTATGGCTCTCGATAGACGACTGGTACACAATGGGGGTAAGATATTGACCTACACTAGCCGGCAACCGAGTAATCGGATGTCCGTTGCTATAGGGAAGCTCTCGTACGACTATCCGTAAGAGAACACTTCCGGCGAGCCAGCCAGTGGCCGCCCGGAGATGGAAATTAAATTTCACAGTCTGACGAACTTACCTGAACCGGTGCTGCCACCAAGTGCTTTCAGCTTGGACTTGAGCTCGAGCGTTAAAAATTGAAGGGTCCTCAGTGGATCGAAACGGAATAAATTAATACCGGTTTCCAGCTCCGATGACTTGCAAATCGGAACTCGTTGGCTTGATGTCGGTGGAACCAGTGTGGCAGCCGAGGGTCGTCGGGGTTGCGGCGGAACGGCCACAATCGAACTGGTTGGCCGAATGGACAACGACGAAGCCGACGACGACGATGACGATGACGACACAGCTGGAGTTAAAGTTGGTCCTGGTGGGATGATGGGCGATGAAATAGGATCCGGTGCGTTCTGGGTTGTGGGTTGACGATAAAAAAAAGAATAATATTGGATTTGAGCGTGATTTCCAGGTTTACTAAGAATCTTATTTCCATTTAAAGCTGGTGGAAGGATGACATCGGTTCGTGATACAGGCATACCTCGATTTTTCGTATGCTTTTCCGCCACCCCAAAGGAGACATTCTTCAACATTTCTTTTGAGTTGTGATTTGTGGGAAATCGAGGAATTCCTGTCACTAAAATTGAATGATGCCCAAGAACATTATATCAACTTTAAGCTTTAATTCTCTGCCGGCTATTTCCTAAAGCACCTTTTTCTTATCATCTCTTTCCAGGTACTACAAAATCACATCTTCTGTGGGATACTTTATCCGTTATCCAAACTCCCACTCGCATGAAGATGATGCTTCTATGGTAAAAGAAAAAAGCAGCTATCAAAGGTAACGTCAGAAGCATCCCTTATCTGTTTCCTTATCATTTTCAAAGCTTGTTAGTGTGTGTGTGTGTGTGCGCGCGTTCGTGTTTGTGAGTTAGTGGACGTTTGTCTTGCCTTGTCACTGGACCGGATTAAATTAGATTAATTTTTGCTTTGATGCGTCCGACGGGAAATGAGGGAGAAGTGTCACATTTTTTTCTGGATGATTAACATAATAACAGCTTGAATGTGAATGGCAACACCGGGATTGTGAGAGTGTGTTCAAGGGCTGCTTGTTTTGATCTGGTTTTAAGTTCTTTAAAGTAACATTTCCTTGTAGGACGAATGTTTTCAGTGGAAATTGCATTTTGTCTTGAAACTTTTTGTGTAGGACGCTAACTGCTATTCATTAGAAAATCCTCATAAATTTTCCCAGAACTAAAACCTTACAGAGTTCGTGAAAGGAACTGTTGTTGTTCATTGAATCCCGCCAAACACGGCATACATTTTCGGTGCACAGAAACCAATCTGTCGTGAATCGTTTAAAAAATCCCATTGTCAAACGAAGATACATCCCACACACCAGAAACAAGCATTCTTCTTACTAACCTTTGATTTGATCTGCGACAGCGACGTCGCCGTCCCCATAGCAAACGACGACGACGACGTCAGTATCCCGTCCCAGCTCTCGGTTCCACTTTTCATGTTCTGCTGCTGCAGCTTGATTCCATCTCCAACTTCCAATCTTGGCCCCAACCCAGCAGCAGCACGTCCAACGTAATCCCCATCGGGTGCTACCGCCGCCAGTTTCATGTTGTCAAGCTGATTGACATTATCACTCGCCTTGCCCCTACCAGCACCACCACCACCACCACCACCAGCCAGGCCATTACGTCCTCCGGGAGCTTTGGATCCACCGACGACTCGATTCTGTTGCTGTTGTTGTTGTTGTTGTTGTTGTTGTTGTTGTTGTTGTTGTTGTTGTTGTTGTTGTTGTTGTTGTTGTTGTTGTTGTTGCTGGCGACAACAGGGCCGAATAAATTTGAAGCCTTGTTGTTTCTCCTGCTGACCCGAATTAGGGAACTTTTTACCTTGTGATCGAAAGGAGAAATGTAGTTGGGACATTAAAAGATTGAATACAATAGAGCAATGGTGCTCATCCAATGGCCCACGAGCCACATGCGGCCTACCGAGTGAGTTTGTGCTGCCCGCTGAATGCTTTCAGCTTGTGGAATGTATGAAATTTTTATCAAATTAAGGTTCCTTTGGAATTCATAACAGAGTTCTTTTGTAACTCAGTTTGAAACTTCTTATTTTTCCTCTTAAGATTTTTTCAAAATTCCTTCTAATTTACTTTCAAAATTTCGTTCGAGTTTTTCAATAAATCTCCGTTGTAATTTGTACCACAATATTTTTTTAAAATTTACAAATATATTTCAATTCTGTTGAATCCTCATATGTTGTGAGTTGGAACTTCCTTGGAATTTATATCAAAACTACCGCTAAATAACCTCTCCTTAACGCTGTCGAAAATAGTAAACTCTATTTAAGATTCCTTTGGAATTGAATGAACTTCAGATACAGATTCCTTTAGAATTGTTGTCACAATTCTTTTGAAATTAATGTTTGTAATGTTCTTGTCAGCATTGCTTTGAAACTCTTGTATGAATTTTTTTTTGGAGTTGTGGAGTGCCTGTGGACTTGGAGACATACTTCAAGTCCCCGCGTACATCGTACGGGTTAGGCAAAAATGTGCGTCTATCTCTTTAAAAAAAACTGTCGCATTAATGGCCCTTCGCTCATTTTCAACTTCTATTCAATTTTCATACTGCCGTACTCTAACGGAACTATCCACCTACCCTCTTCTAAAGATCATTCTCTAGCTAATAAATCATCACACTAAAGCTTCATGTTAGCATTTCCAACCAACTCCTTTGAATTTTCTTTGAGTTCTTCTCAGAGAATCTTTTAAAATTATCCTCTACACTTACTCACCTACCCCCCTTGGAATTTGGAAATTGCCATGTAATTCTACATATAACTACTTTTAAGTTGCCCAAGTATTTTCCTGAAGGTTTCCTCATAAATCCTTTATTTTTTTTCAAAATTACTTTCTAGTCTGCTCGAAATTCCTTATGAATACTTTAATACTTTCCCTATGAGTTCTGTTCGGAATTACAATTGGATTATGCCAATTCTTATCGGAATTGAATTTTAATTTTTTCCTGAAAATTCATCCAAGTTCAAGACACATTTCAAGTTTTCTTTCAAGCTCATGTTTTCTAAAAGAATTTCTCACTACAATCTTTCACATTCCAAAACTAAGCCGTGTTTATCATGACCCAGCGTTTCCAGGTCATTTTCAGAAAAATCTGGAACAGTTAAAATTTAAAATCTGGAAAAATCTGGATTGCTTAAAACATTATTTTTTAACATAATGCTATTGAAATCAAAGTGATGTGCCCAGGCATGGAAAATCATTTACATTCATTTCATGCAATAATTTACATTCATTTGCCTTTAACTTTTTTCATCAACAGCATTTCGCAGAATGATGTGGAGAACATAAGCAGGTTTTGTTATTAGCTATAACTTTTGCCCATAACTCAATTCTGTATCTCTTATGCATCACGAATTAGAGCGGGCAGAACATGTTACTGTTTTTCAGTGATTGTAAAATACATTCATTGAAAAACAGTAGTGGCTTCTGTTCACTCTGGTTCGTCATGCATAAGATATACGGATTTGAGTTGTTAACAAAAGTTGTAGTTAATAACAAAACCTACAAAACTTCCATACATTGTTTTGCAGAATTCTGTTGATATAAAAAGTTAGGGGCAAATGAATGTAAATGAATGTAAATGAATGCACTAAATGAATACAAATGATTTTCCATGCCTGGATGTGTCAATCTCCCGTAAAAATCGGTCAGTATGATCATCTGGAATTTATTTCAAGTACTAGAATGGTTATGAATAACATGTTTAAATAAATTATATAAAGCAAATAACTTGCCAGCATTGCTGAAATCATCCAAAAGTTGAAAACTATTGACAAAGTGTGCCCAAAAAATTTAAATATCCATTGGGTGAAATACTGCAGAAAATATGTTTAGAATTGTATTTTAAACAAATAATAATCGATGTATTACTTACTAGTTCTAAATAATTCTAATATTACCCTGAGGTTGATCAGATTTACAATTTAATTCTTGACATCATACAACACACAACACCCAGTAGACCAGTAAACAATTTTATTTTGAAGCAAAATTCACCTGGCTGAAGTGGGAATCAAAGTCTAACATCGTGGTACTCACACACAGTTTACCTAAACTACGGCTTACTCCACTATTTGCATGACCATTACGAATAATTTTATGCCAAAGAATAATTTTATCATATTACTAACATGAAAGTCTGATAGCTTCATTTTGGAAGTCTCAGGCTCTTGAAATGATTCTAAATTCCGGAATTTATATTTTTCCTGGGTCCCAGATCAAGACATTTTTGGTTAGTCTGAATTTACTTGGAACTCTTCAAAAGATATGTTCGCCCTTTTTTTAATTCCATCATACTTATTTTCTATATTCCTCTAAAATAATCTCGATAATATCGAAACTTTTCCAGCATTACCGCTTGTAATCTCTTATAAATCACTCTCCAATTCCACAACTCCCTCAAACTGGTAATAATTCTCAAGAATTGGTACAATTTTGTGTCCTTTTTTCTCTATGAAATTCTTAAAATATTCTTAATAATTTCCTTGGTACACTCTTCAGAATGACCATCACGCTCTTCTCAGACGCATTCGATAATTCCCTTTGAACTGCTTTGTAGGTAAGGTTAGAATTGTTTTGAAATCCCCTTCAGTATTTCTACTTGGTTTTGAAAGTCTCGCAGAAATTGCGCATGGTTCCGTTTAAATATCTTAACATTTTATTAAAATGAATCTCCATAGAAACATTGGACAGAATACCATTGCAATTATTCTCACGATTCGTGTCAGCATACCCCTTAAGTTTCATCATAAGAATTTTCTATGATTTCTTTTCCGGATTGTGTTCCCTTTATTCACAAAATATCCATGCAATTGTCATCAGCGTTGACAAGACAATTGACATCGTCTTCAACCAGACGTGGCACAGACTGTATATTTAACACTAGACAACGGACAACACACCACACCCAGTAGACATTTTCAGGTTGCCAAAATTTGCACCGACTGGAGCGGGATTCGAACCCTCACTTCGTGGCATTCACAATAAGTACGCCTGAACGACGGGTGAATCGCACGACCACGAAGCTCACAAAGATGCATGGAACTCTACTCGGATTAGCTTGACATTCTCGTCTGATTTCACAAAGAATTCACCTTGTCTGTGTATCTGGAATACTGGCAACGCTGATCATGACGTTCAGCATAGCAGCCCTCGGATAACTTTTATGATTCTGTAGCTCGACAAACTTCTTAAGTCTTAATGAGGCCTTGGAAATCTTATGAGATATCCAACTGCGGAATATTAAAAGCCAAGGTTACTGATACTCGCATCGTACGACTCAAAAGCGCTTACCGCCTCCGAACGCGTTTGAAATAACGAAAACAAAGTATACACAGCAAAAAAAAAATGTAATATCGATCAACGTAATTCAAGCTGATGTATGAAATAATGATGTAATAGCAAAAAGCAGATACAATATAACATCAATGGATGTAATTTTGTTCGCAAAATCGATGTACATCGTACAATGTGATATTACACAACCGATGGATTGACCTGGTTGCAGCAGTTTCGATGTAATATTCAACAACTTTTTTTGCTGTGTACATTCCTGAACGAACCGAACGATGCCATTAACGTGAGTCTTCGTGAGTGACCTGTGTGCGAAGAGTATTCGTGCTGCCTTCCATTCACTCTCGTTCCATTCTCACCGTTCTTTACGAACTGGTGTGATCGGATAAGAGTGCAAGCCTTAATGAACGTTCACGGTGAGTCAGTTTAATACTCACGGCGAGTGCTATGAGTTGCCGATATGAGCAAGACATATCATGGAAATTTAAAATGGAAGATAAGTGACACGGACACCACTAGGGGTGATGTGCTCCTGGGTACGTTGTAAATGGTTACGGAGCACAACCTTTCCATTAGGTATCCAGAATGGAAAAGTGCCAATTTGCTTTTGGACCCCCTGTGGAAGGCGTGCGGTCTGAAAATATCCCGGAATACTCTGCCTCCGTTAATCGACAGAGGCGCTGAAATAATGCGGCAAATTGTGTATGCAAAATTTTAGCAGAAGGTAATTTGCCTAAAAGTTGATGAAGTTTTTTAATAATTACCGAAAAACTAAGGGCCAGTCAAAAACACCACTCTGAAATTTTCACCACTGAAAGGTAAGAAGTTTTCTTTCATGACAAAAATCATTTCCATACAGAGCTGGAAAAATGGCCTATCTGCTTTGATCGATTCTCTTCATCGACTTTCTCTTTTGATAACCACGACTATGCAAACAGTTTTCATGCTATTTTTGCCACAGAGCATGATAGAGGAGGTTTTTATCTATCGTCCAAATCGTCAAATACAACAGGGAATGTTGATGCAGCTGAGTTATTAACGAAAGAAAAAGTCGGTTAAGCGAATCGATCAAAGCAGAAAGGCCCTTTTTCCAGCTCTGTATAGATTTGACAAATTTTTATGACCCTGACTATGGATTTTCCTTTTTTTATGTATTGCTGAGATGACTTCTCTATATTTTTATATAACATTCATTCTACGATGATTGGATCATAAGTGTTATAAATTTTCAATGTCCCTGATGTCCGAAAACTTCAATTAAAACTTTCGGGAAAATTGACCATTACAAATTGTTAGAAATTTATTTTCCTACACAAAACTACCGTACTTACCGTTTAAAATCCGCATACACAAAATTCATTCTCAAAATTCGAGTTTTTATCCGAATATCACCAAATGTTCAGGGAGTAAAAAGAAACAATTAAAGTTAGTTTTGGCATCATTCATTTAATTTATTTCGCCTTTATATCCGAATGCTCTTTGATAGAGGAAGGAGTCTTGATAAAGAGCAATTGTAATCTTGAAACAACAAAGCTTTGTATGGTTTCTTTATTGACAGGAATAATCATTCGCCTGCAGTAGAAAACAAAATCCAATTTGTTTGGGTAACCGTATGGGAGAACTTGTTCGTTTTTGTAAACGATCTTGTACCAAATAAGGAAAAGCTCAAGCTTTACAATATTGGCCATATTGCATCAACTAAATTGTGAAAAATGTGGTTTGTCTGATACAAATAAACATCGGATTAAGCAATGCACGAAGTCAAAAATATTCTGGGATTGGTGCAGTCTAACCATTATAGAGTGGATGAAGGTTAAGGTAAAGCATGTCGAAGATATTCTTCAATTGAAGATTCAAAACTCTTCAAAGCAGCTAAAAGCTGCTTTTTGGCTGATGATAAGAGCTGTTTCTTTCAACTTGAGGGTTCACGAGCCTTCTTTGTTTATTTTCAAAAAAGAGTTAAGAGAGATGAATTGGAACAAACGAGTAATGTTTCACGCTGAATTCGGTAAATTTTTAGACATTTGTTGATTGTTCCTTGATGAATATAGATAGCTAGCTACTAGCATACTCAAGTATTGTAAACTCGAACTGAATGTAACTATTAATTATTTAAATAATTAAATAAAACAACAAAATAAAAAAAATTAAACAAAAATTAAAAATTAAAAAAATGGCCGAACCTTGGCCTCAACTCCAGCCATAAGGTTCTGCACGACCTCAGAATTGACATGCTTTCTTCATCATATTAACTCATGCTTTCTTCGTTTCTTCTACATTCTTCACCATTTTAGGTCGTTTAAGAAGGTGCTCCTACATATTGGCCCAGTATTTTTCTATTGGGCGCAGTTCCGGCATGTGTTTGGGGGGTTCAGATCTTTCGGCACGAAATCGACATCATTCGCCTTATACCACTCAAGCACGTCCTTCGTGCCATGATGCCAAATCCGGCCAGAAGATCGTCGGACCGTCGTGAACCTTCAGGAGAGGGAGAAGCCGCTTTTGGGGGACACTCTTCCAAATACTCCTGTCCATTCATGGTGCTTGCGGTAACGAAAGGTGTACTCCGCTTTCCGCAAGTACAAATCACTTGCCAAATTAAGAACTTTTCGTGAAATTCGACATCTTCTGTGTCCGGAGATTCTCGAGAACATCACACTTATCCTTGGCAGTCACATACAGGTTTCCTGGAATCTGGTTGAAGTCTGCCTTCACATATGTCTCGTCATCCATTACGCAGCAGTGTGGTTTCGTTAACTTCTGGTCGTACAACAACCGTATTCTGTTTCTTGTCATGGATTGGGGACTTCTGAACCATAAACGTACGTAGTCCAGCTCGAGTGTTGGCATTCTACACGAAGGGCCACCCCGGCGTAGTGGTTAACATCCATACCTCTCACGCCAAAGTCACGAGTTCAAATCTCACCCCCGGACAAGTCACGAATGACCCAAGAGTGTTAAAGTGACTATAATAAAAAAAAAAAAAAAAAAAAATCTACACGAAAGTCTTGCTCACATGCAACTTTTTAGCCACATCTCGAACTGAGGCGTTCGGTTTCCGTTTAAAGGCCCCAACCTGAAGGCTTATTTTCCGGTTATTTGCTTCAGATCAACAGTAAGGCGTTCTTCGAACCGTTTTATGATACCAGACACCGTAGAATTCGCGATTCCCAACTTATATTTCCGATGGCACGATGCAACAGATCCTTATTCTCAAAGTACTCGTGCTAAACTTTTTCGCGCACGCACTGTTCTTTCGTCACTATTTTGAAAACATTTGTGCACCCAATGAAATCAACTCATAGAGTGTAAACAATACACATTAAATCATGGCGCAAAATTTCAATTAATTTTACCTAACGAATCAAAAGTTAGAGCAATATAATTTAAAGCGTTGATCTCAACGCTTTTCTCGATGCAAACAAGCGGTAGCTTGCACGTTGGCAAATTGAAAATACAAACTTTTTATTACACTGGAGTCGCTTTTTACGCGGTTTTTTACGCGATTTTTTTACACGGATTTCGAATTTCTCGATTTCGAATTTCTTATACGGAAAGACACTATACACAGCTCCATTTTGGAAATTTCAAGCGTATGACAGTTCCTAGACTTTACTGGGGCACTTGGACTTTAAAGAATTTGGGATCCTTCCAAAGTTCCTCTTCAAAATCATTTCCGAAAGTAGTACCAACCCAAGCAACAATTCAGTAACCATTTGGCATCTACTCTGATTTATGATGGGTTTATAGCGGCAATGAAAAATCCATTTAGCTTAAATACAGCATTTCAAAATAAAAAACATTACTGCTTAGTAATTCAGCTTTTTGCTGTTTTAAAAACCTTTTATAGTCTGGCAAGAAAGTCAAAAACTGTCTTGTTTTAAACATAAATTTAAAACAGTTCTCAATCCCTCATTAAAACTGTTCTGTAATTTAAGCATAAACGTCATTAGCAATTGTCTTGATATAATACTTTATAAACATGTTCTATCATTATAAAAGCAACCACAAAACCATTAGGTTTTGGATTAGAGCAAAAAGCATTTATTGTTGCTTTTTAGGCTTTTAAAGTGCATCATAAACTCCCCAATTACTCTGTTTACAAATTGAGCTTTAAGATGGTTCCTCATAATTAATAAAAGCCAAATGAATGACAAGGAAATCACGAAGGATGTAGGATGAAACATTCAGGTCGATTTCAGCAAAATTTACTTCTTTAGAAGAACGAGCACACCATCAACGACTGACCTGGCGGAAAAGAGTAAAGTGAGCGTGGTCATAAAACATTGTCGAAAGTTAAAAAAAAAACCAGCCTTCTCCAGATCTTACGAATAGATGACATACGAAATAACAACCCACAGCAAACCACTGAAACTGTTAGTTAGCGGAGACTAGCTGGTTTCCGATCCATAGGAGCGATTTTATTCGTCGAAACAATCAACTCTTCGAAAATTTCATTCAGGTGTACATCCCTGCATCGTTGGATGGTGCACTTTTGTAACCATCCGGAAGAAGAGGATCTTTTTTGGGAATGTTGTAAAACAGTATCGCAAAATATCTGAGTAACTGCGCCCAATCCATCGGGAGAAAACCGCCTGGAAGAACCCTGGATCCCACAGCGCACCTACCGAAACAAACTTTGACGTTTATCTTTTTGCAGGCAACTTTGCCTCCATAAATGCTGCCATAAATCTTAACGGGTTAGGATCAAGCAACATGGCTTTAGATAAATACTATTCAGCCTACAAGTTTTCTTCATAAAAGCCATTTTAAAACCTTATGAATTTGTTAAGGATTTCTTGAAAGCAAAACAACAACTTTTATGCCACCGCCATGTTACAATTAGTTTGCTTGCTTTTTACAATCTTCAATTTTCAATCCACATTTCCTTGGATACAACCTTTTTTTTTGGTAAATTTAGCAATGAGCAAACATTTAAATGCGAAAATCATAAAAAAATTCTCGGTCAAGCGCGAACGCAAGAAAAACAATTTTTTTTTTCAATGTAAAATAATTAGTCAAATCAAAGTTTTACGAGGACGGACTTATTTTTCGATGTTTTCACGTACATTTCACATAACATTTAATAAGGCACATAAAACAAGACCACTTAAAGTGCACTGCAATAAATTTGGATATTCAACAAGATTTTTGTACCATCAGTTTCAATATCAATGATATCAATATTTTGATAAGATCGGATTCATAAATCCTTTTCGATTTTGATTGATGCTTTTCTAGTGGATTTAGCAAGCGGCTAGGGGAAATGGCTCGGAAAGGGTTTTTATTGTTGCTAAATAGCTTTTATTGCAGCTTTCAAATGGTTCTGAATGCGTTTGTCATACAACCTTTTGCAGTAAATCAATCTTGAAAAGCTTCGAGAATACACCCTTCAGAACCTTCTCCAGGGTGGGCCAACTAGACATATTCTAGTCTTAATGAGGTTTTGGTGGATGAATTTATAACAAAATAGCCTTCACCAAGGTTTTATGAATGTTATTTTATAGTTGTTTTGAAGTATTTCATCGATTTTCTCTTTAAATTGCTACATTTTCTGAAATTTGTCCAATACAGTGCTGGTTGGATTGTATTGGTTATCAAAACAACAACAAATGCACCAAAAAATGTTAATCCACACACTTAGAAATAACTACTTTTACATGAGACGTAATCTATATTGGACGTAAATCATGGAACGTAAACAAACATTTCATGTAAAATTAAGTGTTCTCAAACCGAAACAGAAGCAACTCGAAGATGATAACGTTTGATTGAATTGATTTTCTCGTTTTTTCAACTGATTCTTAGGTCAAACGGACCGCTGCTTACATGTGTTGGTCTCAGGGAACCAAAATTTACATGAATTTTTCGTAGTGTGCAAGCTAGTTATTGACAAAAGAGACATCGATGAAGAGAATCAATCATCGCGGTTACGCCCTTATACATGCTCACTGTCAAATATTCATTAGTGACTGTTGAACGTGAAAATTTCAATATGACTAATGTGTAATTTGAAAATGGTTCACATCTGAATTTAGGTACTAAAACTTCCATAATTTGGAAATAATTCAGTTCAATTGGCATCCAACAAACTCAAACCAAGCTACCAAAGAATTCCATGCATTTAAGATATTCCTTCTCTATTCAATACACATTTTTTTTATCATTTCTACGGTCAGCTTATCATCTTACCTCTTGCCAACGACGCTGCCAGATCAACACCAACGGCTCCAGGATTATTGATTGGCTGTTTTGCTCGGACACCCGGCATCGGCTGCTGGAGCAGTTTTCGAGATGATAGATTTCGGCTACTGGCGGCGGCAGGGGACATCCCTCGATGCCCGGATGCCGAATCTCGCTGTTGTTGTCGGGGAGGCAACTTTTGGGATGGAATATTTTCCAAATATTCTTCACATTTTCTCACATAGTTATGGTTCATTATAAATCGTCACGGGCACTGGATGCGATGGTTTTTTCTTTCTGTGCCACTGAATTGCGCAAATTCAGATTTATGACCCGGATTCGATAGAATTCACCCAAGGGTGAACCCAAATAATGGTAGTCTGAGGATAGAAAAAAAAAGGTTAACCTTCCTCCGGTACCTGGATTTATTAGATTAGAACTGGACTGCCCTGGAGTCGGTTACGAGAGGGTGCGGGACAGGTGAAATTGTGATTGCGGCAGATCGTAATGATGAAATTATGCGGAATCAAGGCCAATAATGGTGCCTTTATTCCACCTACGCAACTTTCTTTTTCTTATTCTCGGCTTGCCATAAACGGGTTAGGAAGAAAGTCCCATGAGGGCTGTCGAAGGATGATTTACTTGATTGGACACGTGGGATTCGCGAGGAGCTATAAATGACACGCACCCTCTAACTATGTAAAATGTAGGTGGATAGGCCTTGTAACAAAACAAACACCGAACGCACACACGCGGAAGAAGGTTCTGGATATATATTTTTTACACTTGGAAAGAGCTCCGGGAGCACGAGATAGACGCAGACGGACCGGCGACGACGGGACTAATGGAGCGAGGGAGATTGATCGGAATAAACAAAGTTGTTTGTTGATTTGCTGACACAAAGGGATTATTATTGATAGGCTGCTTGGATTGAAAGCGATCCGATGATTCGATTAGCAGCGTGTTTTGAATGTATTGGATTGAACCCTTGTTGTAGCTGGTTGTGGAACAATAGAGTTTGACAATTGGCTTTTGTCAAGGTGTTTGCTCGGCTTCTCGTCTGACTGATTGAAGCTCGATTTGAGATGGATGAAACGTCCTACTTAATATCTACCCAGCCAAAAAAAAATCATGAATTTTAATCATCGCACAGGATCTCTCTCGTGTAATTTTGAGCCAAACTCCAGGCCAAACTTGACAAACACAACGATTGAACTAGTTTTTTAATTTCTCTCCAATCAGATTATTTGTTTTCAGCTTATTTTTTGAGTGTTCTACACATTCCATGATCTTAAATTTTTGTCTTCTTCTTTGACAAGATATTGAACAACATAACAGAAAACGCTTGAAATCCATTTATTTTTCCAGGAGTTGTCTGCTCGTTTAAACATGAGCAGTTCTTTGATAGATAAAATCTATTGAGCAATCTGAATAAACTGCTTCTTTTAAAAATGAGCGGCTTTTAGCAGATATTGAGCAATCGAATGAAAATGCTCAAAAGTCATGTATCTCTCTTGAAGTTAACTCATTCTTTAAACCATGAGCAGTTCAATGATGGATAACAACTGTTGAGCAACCTGACTGAAAACGGTCAAAAGTAATTTCAAGACCAACAATTGAAAGGCCTCAACTCCATAAAAGTTTGATGAAGGACAAATCTAATCTAATCTAATCTAACACCAACACAGCCAGTTCTTGAAAGCATCCTGGAAAATGATATATATACCTACATCATTTTTCTTGTCTATTTGATGTATGTTTCACATCGAAGATGCGTTAAACATATCAAAACGGCCAGGCCTACTGTGAAGCATTTATGGGGCAAGATGATTCAGAAAACATCGGTCCTGTTTAAATCGAAGATGCTTCAGAATCCAATAAATTGATGAAACGTGGACATCTCGTACCGTACGTACCGATTTTGGTAATTATATGATTGGTTGGTCTCTGGAAGCATCAAAGCTAGAAAGGTTAAGTGATGCTACATTTTCTTCTGAAGGTTGGGACCCTTGTCCTAGCCTTTTATGACTTATGACTATAGCGCCATTACTCGCTTTCTGAAAAGGAGAAGGACAAAGGGAAAAGGATTATATGAAATCTATGGACATAAGCAATATTTTTGATTTGAAATATTCAATACATAAATGCATAACAAATAGCAAATTGTTTTAATATTCGTATGTTTCTAATTTATTTTAACGATGTTCTGAAATGTATGTTTCATCTCCTTAGAAGAATGATTAAAAAAGGAGATTTCTTCAATACTAGGGACACCAGATTTAACGACATATCTTCATTTTGAAGATATTTAAAATTCTGTGAAGTTATTTTTCATGCAGACATTTTGAAGACATTTCATGTTATGTTAAGTTGTTTCAAGGCATGTGGAAGCTGAAGCAGACTTTCGATGGATTTTTTTGAAATTTTAGGCTGGCATATGAAAATTTTTGTTAAATAAATTAAGCTTTTGATTTCATATTTTAAGCTTCTTCCTGAATATGTTGAATATGAATAATGTAACCAAAATCTGATATTTCAGAAAGTGGTAGAGATGAACCAGCCTAAGGCTGAAAGTCTCGTTAATAAAGGAAAAAAAAAGAAGATATTTCAGAATAAAACTTGATCCAATTGAATATTCACAGGACTTCACGGAAATATTCGATTAGCTGGAGATCTTTTGAATACTTCCTGATCAACGTTCAGTTTTGGGAGAATATCTTCACAATAATACTTGATCAACCTGAAGCCTTGAAAAATATCCAGAGGACTTTATTGATATCTTCGATCAGCTGGAGATCTTTTAAGTACTTCCTAACCGATCTGCCATCTTGCGAGAGCCAATTGAATATTTGACCAGTTTAAGATCTTCAGATTTCGTGATCAGCCTGAATTTGCTAATATCTGACCAACCAGTAATCTTGAAAGACTACCCAAGTAACAATTCTGCAATCATTTGGCATCCACTCTGATTTAGGATGGTTTTATAATGGCAATGAATAACCCATTTAGTTTTAATACAGCTTTTCACAGTGTAAAACGTTCCTGTTTAGTAGTTCATCTTTTCGCTGTTTTAAAAACCTTTTACAGTCTGGCGAGAAGTCAAACACTATATTGTTTTAAAATTAAATTTAAATTAGTTCTCAATCCCACCATAAAACTGTTTTATAAATCAATCATAAACTTCATTAGCAATTTTTTATTAATGTCTTGATAAAATACTCTATAAACCTGTTTTATCATTATAAAAGCAATCATAAAAACATTAGGTTTTAAATGAGAGCAAAAGGCATGTATTGTTGCCTTTTAGGCTTCTAAAAGTTTATCATAAAATCTCCTTTGCTTACAAATTGAACTTTAAGGATGGATCCTCATAGTGAATAAAAACCAAATTTATGACAAGGATAAATATATCGAACGATAAACGAAGTTGGAGGAAAAATTCAAGCGATACTAACAACCGAAGGGAAGTCAATTTCAGTAAAATTTTGTTCTTTAGAAGAAACAGGACGTCCGGCGGAACGGGTACCATCAACGACTGAGCATCTGGTGAAGAAGACTGAAGTGAGCGTGGTCCTCAAATTCGTAAAACATTGTCAAAAAAGTCTGAAAACAGATCAGCCTTCTCCAGACCTTGCGAATAGATGAAGATCGGTATAACTTGCGTCAGTACCGACAGCAAACCACTGAAACTGTCAGTTAGCGGACACTAGTTGGTTTCCGATCCATAGCTGCGATTTTATTCGGTGAAAGGGTCATCACTTGGAAAAAAAAATCATTCAACCGTACATTCCTGCATCGTTTGATGGTGCACTTCCAGAACCATCCGGAAGAAGGGGATCTTTTCGGGAATGATCGAGGTTACAGTTGTGAGAAATGCGAAATGTTGTGAACACTTTCTGAGTAACTGCTTCCAAGCCATCGGGAGAGAATCGCCTGGAAGAACGCTGAATCGCACAGTGCAAGTATCGAAAGATAAACATACTTTGACGTTTAACATTTTGTAGGCAAAATTGCCGCCATAAATGCTGCCATAAATTTGAACGGATTGGGATCAAACAAAATGGTTTTCGATAAAAACAATACAGTCTACAAGTTTTCTTCATAAAAGCCAACTCAAAACCTTATGAATTTGTTAAGGATTTCTTGAAAGCAAACTAACTTTGTCTCAAATGGCCCATGAAAATCAACTTTTATGCCTCCGCCATATTACAATTATTTTGTTTATTTTTTACAACCTTCGATTTTCAATCTATATTTCTTTGGATATAACTTTATTTTAGTTAATTTAGCAATGAGAAAATATTTAGAATGCAAAAATCATGAGAAACAAAAATCTCGGCTAAGCTTAATGATCGATCTGAAGAATTTATTATTTTTCTTAATGTCAAATAACTAGTAAAATCGATGTTTTCCGTGTGCGGACTCAAGTTTGGCACCTAAAACTGGGCCACTTCATGAAAACTATTTTATAATTTTGAAAATTCGGCAGGATTTTTATACGATCAGTTTTTATTTTAACTATTTTGATAAGATCGGATGGTATTTATCTTGATTGTTGTTTTTCTAGTGAACTTAGCAAGCGGCTAGGGTAAATGGCTCGAATCATGGTTTTAATTGTTGCCAAATAGCTTTTATTGTAGCTTAAATACGGTTTTGAAATGGATCTCAATGCGTTTATCGTACAACCATTTTGCAGTAAATCAATCTTGAAGAGCTTCAAAAATACACCTTTCAGAACCTTCTCCAGCGTGGGCCAACTAGACAGATTCTAGCATCAATGAGGTTTTGGTGGATGCATCAATGGCAAAGCAGTCTTGACCAGGGTTTTATGAATGTTGTTTTATAGTAACTTTGTAGTATTTCATAAAACTTAAAATGTTACATGGGTATCTAGAGACGTTATTTGAATTTAACGAACAGTTGAATATCTTAAGAATAACACTTGATCGACCTGAAGTCTTGAAAGATATCCAGAGGTCTTTAAGGGGAAGCAGACCGCTCCAAAAAAAAAAATTACGTTTTGATTTTTCTAAAAATATTGAAATAAAGTATCAAAAATCTAAAAAAATCACATTTTTTCTAATTTTTTAAAGAAAAATTCACGTGCAAAAACATGTTTTATAAGTCATTATGGCATAAAGTTGGACTCAAAAAACCACAAAACATCAACTTTTCGGTTTTTCTGAGAGTCCAATTTTTTTTCATGATGGGATAGAAAAAATTTTTTTGCATGTAATTTTTGACAAAAATCTAAGGAAGAAACTGATTTTCTTGGATTTTTGATAATTTTTCCCAATATTTTTAGAAAAATAAAAACGTACCGAAAATATTTTTTTTTTATTTTTGGGCGGGTGAGCTTCCCCTTAAATCACCGGTCAGCTGTATACCCTTTAAATACTCTCTAATCAAACTTCCGTCTGGAAAGGATGTCGTATTTTGAATTCTTGAACACTTGCATATCTTCAGAACATTACTTGATTAAGTTGAATAAGTCTTGAATAATATCCATAGATATTAACACAAATCCGTGAATATCAGTTATACGATTCGTGTATTTTCAAGAAGTTTCTTGATGCATGATGCATGATAGTGGTTTACCACCCATTGTAGCACGGAAACTAAGTCCGACAGCAGTGGGCTCTCTTCTCTGTTTGTCTTGATCAAGCTTAATAACTTCTGATTGTCCTCAACATGTCGCTGTATGAAGTGCCTAAAACGGATTGGGTAGATCGATAGGCAAAGTCGCCTATACGCATCTACGGAACAAGAGAATCTCCTTCCAGCAACTTGATCAGCCAATTGGTCAAAAAGACAAGCCCCCATACAGGAAGATGCTCCAATGAGTGGGGAGAAGAGCCAGCCCTTTATCCACGAAATGTTATCAACAGGGAGTTGGCATTCCCACTCTCCCCGTCCAAATCGCTTCAATCGGGTG